GGAAACAACTCACGAGTTAAAAAACTGTTTTTGCGCAGAACGATGCCAGAATTTTCAGTTCTGCGCATAACAATATGCGTTGGTACAGAACGTGTTGAATTCTGCGTAAAACCTCGTACCGTGCAAGACGACATATACTCCTGTGTCTATGCGGAATAACTACGGGGCATTAAGCTTTATACATCAATGATGATGTGCGTTATGTCTCAGACGCCTGATACAGTATTCGTTGTCTGAGGTTATGTGCACTATAATCGATGATGTATGCTCGAGTGCATCAAGTACTAAAGGGGGTAATTATTCACTGGGTTTTAATTTAGCTTATTTCGCTGACTGGAAAATGCGCTAAATTAAAACCCAGTGAATATGTAAAATTTAGCATAGAACACATTATCTAAATGACGAAACCGTGAATTTAAAACCCACTGAATATGCCTGAAATGGTAAATCAGTGAAATTTAAACCCAGTGAAAATTAGTCATTTTACAGTATGTTAATGTGGAAATGTTCCTATGGTCAATGTAATTAATATATTTAATTTCTTACGTTATATACATTATACGATCCTTGACAATTTGAACTAGTCATACAATAATCTTAATTATTGTCGCACAAAATGTCGTTCTGTTTACTGCTACGTGTTGGTACACAACTATGAAATATACAACAGAACAATTCTCAAACAATATTAGAAAAACACATCTTATTTCGATGTTTATTACAGCAGCGTATATTTCAATATTTCCTGACATCAGCTGTCAATACTTAGTCTCAATCAGTTATTGTTATGTAGACTGGCGCAGTCGGGGCGATTAATTTGTTTTTGTAGTTTAAAGAAAATAAAAAAAATCGCGAAATGAAGGTGTTAGCGCGAAGTCCCCTGTAACTGCGAAATCACCACGACTGGTTTATTCTGCATGGCCCTCTATGAACACTGCAGAAACCCGTCGATTTTTCAACGGGTAATTATGTTAATGAGTGTTCTAATTGCAATCATCTAAGCCAATCACAACGTCTCTCCAACTGACCTCTGACCGAGAAGACATCGGCTGATTGTAGCAGCCGATTTTTTTTTTAATTCTTCAAGTTCGACTAGTAAGAGTTACTTTTTATGAATTAGAAACGACGACTACGACAAACTCAAATTTCTACGTGCCGCCATGTTGGGTCTGCAGTGTGACTTTTACCATGTTGACCTCATTATGCACATATTTCCGCGCCCACCTCATTATAATATGCGCATCATGAATATTTAATAGCAATGAATTTCTTGCAGAATAAATCAGTCGGGTGATTTCGCGATTTATTTTTATTTTATTTAAACTACAAAAACAAATGAATCGCCCGACTGTGCCAGTCTAATTGTTATGCACAACTTACATGTTATCAATGAGTTTGCTTTCATCCACACAGGAAGCTATACCACCTGTACACGATGATATACTGTCAATAATCTCTTACATTGGTGGCACATTGTCTGTACTTGGCTGTGTTTTCTCTGTATGCATATACGAATATTTCAGGTACAGCCATTTTCACATACTTCTAAAACTTATCTGCGCATGCGGATTCCGATAAAGTCGCATACAATACAATACAACAATAGCGCTATTTAATTGTTGGCTTCAATTGTTTCAGAGAACGTTTGTGTCACTTCGCCAATCCTAATATTGTAATACTATATTCATATTATTACACATCACGTGATATGGGTCTTTATGGGTCGGAGTTATATTTGTAATATGTACTGACGGGTGTTGCAGTTAAATATCGACGTTGTTGTATGTTCCACCAAAAACATTTGCCAAAATTAAATGTCATTATTTCCAGAATATGGAATGACAGAATAAGAGTTCACGAAAACCTGGCAATTGCAATTATGACAACCCAACTTATATTTTTAGTTGGAATAGATCGTACTGAACATTTTGTAAGTATCTCTTTTGTCAGCTCGTGACGCCATTATTGCAATTTAATTCGTTGTTTTAGATTACCTGCAATGATGTCACGAAATATCATCGTTTTTCATTTTTAGTATGTGTGTAAGACCGTTGCCGCTTTGCTCCACTACTTCCTGACGGCGCTGTTCATGTGGATGTTGATAGAAGGCATTAATCTGTATGTGGCATTAGTCAAAGTTTTCGGTCGAGGGAGTAATATTAAGAAGTATTTAGCTCTAGGATGGGGTAGGTATTTTTGAATAGGATGAAGTAGCTTTTTGTTGACGTACATAATCTTAAAGATGCATTCCTATTTTGCAAATTAGTGAGGTGCCATACCTTGCCCAATATGCACGCAACCAAATGTTTGAATGACTACAGAATTTATATTTAAGTGGGTCTTTTAAATCAAGTTTAATTTGTAATCAATATTACACTTCTTTATCTAAAACGGCATCATTTGAACACATTTTGTGTTTTTACTTTTTAAAGTGATATTACACATATTTTTAAAGTGCAGGTTCAACTAATGCTCTTTTGTTATGACCAATCTAGGGTCCCCGTTGATTGTGGTCGGTGTATCCTTTGGTATTTTTTATCGCGACTATGGGTTTGGTGATACGTAAGTTCCTCTCTATTTTAACACTAATGAGATACACTAACTTGTGTCGTTATATGTTATAATTGCAACTTCAATAGCTTGAAATATACAACTACAACAGTGTGGTGTGCATGTAATATATACATGTTAACGATACGCACTAATTGTTTTGTCCACAGGTGTTGGTTGCCAACAGAAATTGTTCTTATCGCTTTCGCACCGACAGTGGCGCTTGTCATATTCGTAAGTTAGAATTACTCTTATGGGTCAAGTTTGATGTGGGTCCCATACGACGTGTATAACACGTATAAAATACACGGAATTGAAACGAGGCTGTACGACGATAAGCAAGTCTAAATATAATCTTCAGTTGAAGATTAAAATTAACTGTGTTTAAATCTCACGTCTAACTTTTTCTCACTGGGGCACCGATTAATTGAAAGTGAAACTAAGGGCTATATCTCCAATGTGTAACTATTTTATTTGTTTCTGTATTTTTTTTCTCAGTTTAATTTTTTTATTTTGGTTGTTGTTATTCGAGTAATGCTGAACACAGTAACTGCCAAAGAAAAGCGACAACAGGATGAACTTGCCCCTATCAAGTAAGTGAACTCCCCTATAATGAAAGTTATAGAAAAGGATAAGATGTACATTTTAGCGGGTAGATGATGAGTAGCCCACTTTTTAATATTGTAATATAGTGCACATTAATGGTATTATACAGTCATGCAAATCGTAAGGAACCTTTCTTCTATTGATAAGAAACGATAAGTAACTAAGTAAGTTAAATTCCACCTTTAAAGTTGGACACGTTGAATCAATGTGGTGAGTTGTGCTGCGTGTTATGTTGCCGATTATTGGATAAATTAATCGGATTTTATTTCCATTCTGCTCATTTTAAATGGCGCATGTTAGTGCAGTTATCGTGTCCATCACCGATTCCATTATTGTCTAGTTATAATTTACCGTTGTGCTCGTAGTACTTTAAATATGGTGGAAATATTTCACTGATAAATTCTGCTGGCGTGTTTTTGATATTTCTGTCTATTATATGTGTTTTAGCTGCCAGTATGCTGACGTCGTATAGCATGTCACTGTCTATCCAGCCATGATGAACTGAATTATGTTTCTCCATGTTTTGTAACATTTGTCATTTCCCCTAAACACATTATGTTATTACAGATCCGGCTTGAAGGCTACAGTTATATTATTTCCGCTGCTTGGTTTGACATGGTCGTTTGGGTTTTTGTCAATCAATACGCACACCCTGGTATTCACGTACATGTTTGTTGCATTCAATTCATTACAGGTCAGTATTACATTAGTTTATTGTCAATATAGAATTATTATATTATTCAAGTATTATCCTACGCCAGACCAGTTATTTGTAAAACAAATTTTCATGATTCTCAACACCTAATTAGCGACGGCGCAAATTACGCGACGCTGTCAAGTTATCAATACTAAGTATACAGTTGTGTGGATATCGCGAATATATGCGTTTATGCAAAACAGCTGCTCAAATTTATAACCTCCAGTATTGACCAATATTACTGTGTATAAGGGGAAACAAACAAACGCCGGAACCACTATAGACGGCAATCATTTTTGTCGTCGTTCGCACAACTCCGAAAAATTAATGCTCTGATGTCTTTTGTAACCAAAACACCCGAAGGTTTCAACGATTTTTACCGATTTCAGTTGATATCAGGATATTAATTTTTCATAATTATGCAAACAATTCCAAAATATATCTTAATGACTCTCATCTGCAGTGGCGCATATCTTTAATCGCTGTATGCTAGTTCCAAAGCCCAATTTTATTCTACTGTGAGTAGAACGTTTCAAATGCTGAGTCATATTTCGACATATTTGTTTGGTGCTTTAAAGCTATTTCCATTCTTTGAATTACCTTTTAAATATAGTTGGCATAATATAATATAATATAATATAACACTCGTTATCGTTAAGTCACGACATACATACATACATACATACATAACCGGCGGTGGATCACAAAACAATTTATGAAAAGAAATATGACCATCACTGTGCCCAAAAACTACATCCGTTCAATTAGAGCAGCCATGCACTTCTATATAGTGATCTTTAACAGGGGATTTGATTGGATGCTGAAACCTGAAGTCGGTCAAGTTAATTGATCAAACGCGATGCTCGAGGCCTTTATCTACATCAAATTGTAATCAGATTGACATTTACCGTACATTGAACATGTTTAATTACAGCATGCAAATATGATTTATTTTATGGAAAAAAAATACTGTACGCAAATTGTCATGCTCTCTAAATAATATACTACTACTAATACTACTACTACTACTACAGATAATAATACATATTGATCCAAAATGTACATAAACAATGCAATTTATAAGGTGATATCTATTTCCTTATTATGCTCACATTTGTGATAATATTATCATGACATAGAATATTGAGAGAAGTATTGCTACACATCCTCCTGACGTCACATACATAAAAGTAATTTCCGATGAAACTAACAGGAACATTATTTACGTTACAGGGCATATTTTTCTTCGTTGGACACTGCCTTCGTAACCCGGATGTAAGTATAACGCTTGTTAACGTTTTGCTCGTGCATAATGACTGATTAGCTAGATACGGTCGTGCGCCCGAAAATAAACCAAAAGTTTTCTTCGCTGCTGTTGATATCACATATGTCATATATCATATATGTGTCTCTCTTAATAAAAATAACTTATGGGCAACATTGTCACAGCAGATAATAAGCTAGTGCTGGTCAGTGAGTGACACTTCTTAGCAGACATTCGCATGTTGGCTTAAATGTAAACAAATGTCGTCACAGTGCAACGGCCTGTAGAGCTACGACCAAAATATGTAGGGTCTTCCCTATGCACTGCCATGGACATGACTGACCAATCACGGTAACATGACTGACCAATGAGGTAACTTGCCTGACCAATGAGGTAACATTTCTGACCAATGAGGTAACATGAGAGACCAATGAGGTAACATGACTGACCAATGAGGTAACATGGTCAGTCATGTTACCGTCACCGTGATTGGTCAGTCATGTTATAGTGATTGGTAGCCATTGGTCAGTCACCAGGTGTTAGATGACGTTAGACGATTACAATGATTTTTAGGAATCCACATGCATGTTTGAATGTTGCATCTCCATGTTTGTTTGTTCGTCTTTTATCGTCATATCTTGGTATGCTTGATTATAGGTAAAGAAGGCGTTTGAACGGCGCTATGGCAGAAGGAATATCCCATCTAGTTCTGGACAACAGCAAAATCAGTCTTGTTCTTCTAATGGACTTCACACCATATCTAGCAATCTAAATAGAACTGCTGCTGCTAAAAATAAAACTAACAACAGATGGAGTGTAAAACTAACTAAAATCAATGCACATACCTTTTCTAATTTGAAGGTATGTACTTAAAGAGCGGTGGTCGTCGTGCCGCTTTCTGTTTGATATGGGACTCATAGCGACGTATACAACGCGTGTAAAATACATTGTTTATTTACATGAAATTCGAACACGCACTATGTATTATAATGACAAACCTTATTTTATTTGTCTTTCTAAATTAACAATATTGGTTTAATAATTCCACATCTCTCACTGACAGGATGGCTTCGACAACCCCGTAAGTTTACGTGATGTAAGGATAGACCATGAAGATATAAATGCTACATCCATCGAAAACAAGAAACTTGCGGTAAGTATATCCAAGCTAATTTTTCACTGCGAGAACATATCGACATGTAACGATGCATAAGAATCATACCAACGCCTCTTCTAATGTTGTAAAGGATTTATGAATATTGAAACACGTAATAAACAATGTGACGTAACTGATGTTCATGTTATTATCACTAATTCCGTGTTGAAGTAATATTTTATTATTTAATTGCAGAAGATACAAGGAGTGAGCGGCAACGGCATCACATTCGGCAACAGGTACTTATTCCCACAAATGTAGCCACGACCATCAACCATGACCATGGTAACGACTGTTAACAGGAATCGCTCTACATGACATACGATGGATGTTCACATAAGACATGCGTACAATCTGCCATGGTTTAGTTTGTGTTTTGTTTTTGTTTTCAGTAAGTACCCACACGTGGAAGTGAGTAATAAGACAACCAGGAATGAGTATCATCTATCACAGACAGTTCTACTCAGAGACAAGAGATAGGAGGCACACAGTACTCATCCACTGAAGGCAGTTGTAATTAAAAAAAAAAAAACACGCTTGTCAACATTTTCTTATACACACCACCTTTAGACCATATTCAAAATTGCGTAATGAGAAATGCTAGTGTAATATTATTTTAGACACTATTGGATATAAAGTTCTGTTATTTCTTAAGTATCATTATCTTCAACTTCAATGTGAATTTACTCTACACTTGTAACGCACCTGTAATAAACAATTCATATTACCGTCACTAAATACTAGTATAGATTTGATGTGATCTCAACGTGACAACTAAAATAGGAGTGCGATTTTTAGCATAACTCAATCACAATCTACACGTGCAAATATGTGCGTATGTGACTCATATCATGACCGTATCTGCACGATTACCATTAGACTTAGACTGTCGTACCTAATATCAATAAATATTGTTTATAAACGTAATAGGCGTGTATAAATTGCTAACGCCGAGACATGAAGTATCATGCCGTACCGTTAGGCACGACCGACTTTCGGGACTAAAGTCCCTCGTGTGAAATGGTTCGCATTTCCCACCAAACGCCTTCGGCGTTCGAATGTCTAGGAACACTACACTACATTTCACTATGTGCAAACACTGTGTTGAGACACATGCACAGACATTGATTCATTAGTATTCACGGCAGTTTAGTCATATATTACATCAGTGTATTTTGTCGTCGTCGTTTATTATCTAACTATATTTGTATCAAAAAACGGAAATGCATTTAGCAAATTTCCTTTCTATTAATCTTGTTTGGGATGTTTTTCTCAAAACCATATGTCAATATCGTATCAATATTTAATCACGTGACACAACCAAAGTCAACAATTTTTCCTCAATGTTAAGCACGTGTTACAATATATTGAACATTTTCATCTGTTTTGTCTTATGTATGATTATCGTGGTATTTATTGACATGTTATTAAATTATTACGACGATACTAATAGAGTCTTTTTTAATGTGGTGCACTTAAATAAGTAATGACGTGTATGCAAATGTGATATGATATTTACTCAATTTCACTGATGGAATTTGTAAAGGGGGGGTGTGCGTGAGAGGGGTAGTGTGAGCAATGTTACTGGTGGCGTGCGTGAGAGGGGTAGAGTGAGCATCCTTACTGGTGGTGTGCCTGAGAGGGGTAGTGTAAGCAATGTTACTGGTGGTGTGCGTGAGAAGGGTAGTGTGAGCAATGTTACTGGTGGTGTGCGTGAGAGGGGTAGAGTGAGCAATGTTAATGGTGGTGTGCGTGAACGGGGTAGAGTGAGCAATGTTACTGGCGTTGTGCGTGAGAGAGGTAGTGTGAGAAATGTTACTGGTGGTGTGCGTGAGAAGGGTAGAGTGAGCATCCTTACTGGTGGTGTGCCTGAGAGGGGGTAGTGTAAGCAATGTTACTGGTGGTGTGCGTGAGAAGGGTAGTGTGAGCAATGTTACTGGTGGTGTGCGTGAGAGGGGTAGAGGGGTAGAGTGAGCAATGTTAATGGTGGTGTGCGTGAAAGGGGTAGAGTGAGCAATGTTACTGGCGGTGTGCGTGAGAAGGGTAGTGTGAGCAATGTTACTGGTGGTGTGCGTGAGAAGGGTAGTGTGAGCAATGTTACTGGTGGTGTGCGTGAGAGGGGTAGAGTGAGCAATGTTACTGGTGGTGTGCGTGAAAGGGGTAAAGTGAACAATGTAACTGGTGGTGTGTGTAAGAAGGGTAGAGTGAGCAATGTTACTTGTGGTGTGCGTGAGAGGGGCAGTAAGAACAATGTTACTGGTGGTGTGCGTGAGAGAGGTAGAGTGAGCAATGGTACTGGTGATGTGTGTGAGAGGGGTAGTGTGAGCCATGTTACTGTTTGTGTGCGTGAGAGGGGTAGAGTGAGCAAGGTTACTGGTGGTGTGCATGAGTGGGGTAGAGTGAGCAAGGTCACTGGTGGAGTACATGAGAGGTGTAGTGTGAGCAATGTTACTGGTGGTGGCGTGAGAAGGGTAGAGTGAGCAATGTTACTTGTGGTGTGCGTGAGAGGGGCAGTGAGAACAATGTCACTGGTGGTGTGTGTGAGAGGGGTAGAGTGAGCAATGGTACTGGTGATGTGCGTGAGAGGGGTAGAGTGAGCAAAGTTACTGGTGGTGTGCGTGAGAGGGGTAGAGTAAGCAATGTTACTGGTGGTGTG